GTCTTAGCCACTGGGGACAGATACCAAAAACAATGGGAACTACGTACCTGCAGCCTGTGAAAAGGAGACCCCAAACACTGTAAGTGAAGCAAAATGAGAAGACAGAGAAACACGCAGCAGATGAAGGAGCAAGGTAAAAACCCACCAGACCTAACAAATGAAGAGGATATAGGCAGTCTACCTGAAAAAGAATTCAGAATAATGATAGTAAAGATGATCCAAAACCTTGGAAATAGAATGGAAAAAATACAAGAATCATTTAACAAGGACCTAAAAGAACTAAAGAGCAAACAAACAATGATGAACAACACAATAAATAAAATTAAAAATTCTCTAGAAGGAATCAATAGCAGAATAACTAAGGCAGAAGAACAGATAAGTGACCTGGAAGATAACATAGTGGAAATAACTACTGCAGAGCAGAATAAAGAAAAAAAGAATGAAAAGAATTTAAGGCAGTCTTAGAGATCTCTGGGACAACATTAAATGCACCAACATTCAAATTATAGGGGTTCCAGAAGAAGAAAAGAAAAAGAAAGGGACTGAGAAAATATTTGAAGAGATTATAGTTGAAAACTTCCCTAATATGGAAAAGGAAATAGTCAATCAAGACCAGGAAGCACAGAGAGTCCCATACAGGATAAAACCAAGGAGAAACATGCCAAGACACATATTAATCAAACTATCAAAAATTAAATACAAAGAAAAAATATTAAAAGCAGCAAGGGAAAAACAACAAATAACATACAAGGGAATCCCCATAAGGTTAACAGCTGATCTTTCAGCAGAAACTCTGCAAGCCAGAAGGGAGTGGCAGGACATATTTAAAGGGATGAAAGGGAAAAACCTACAACCAAGATTACCCAGAAAGGATCTCATTCAGATTCGACAGAGAAATTAAAACCTTTACAGACAAGCAAAAACTAAGAGAATTCAGCACCACCAAACCAGCTTTACAACAGATGCTAAAGGAACTTCTCTAGGCAGGAAACACAAGAGAAGAAAAAGACAAACCAAAACAATTAAGAAAATGGTAATACATTATTGATACATACATATTGATAATTATCTTAAATGTAAATGGATTAATTGCTCCAACCAAAAGACACAGACTGGCTGAATGGATACAAAAACAAGACTGGCATATATGCTGTCTACAAGAGACCTACTTCAGACCTAGGGACACATACAGACTGAAAGTGAGGGGATGGAAAAACATATTCCATGCAAATGGAAATCAAAATATATCTGGAGTAGCAATTCTCCTATCAGACAAAATAAACTTTAAAGTAAAGACTATTACAAGAGACAAAGAAGGACACTACATAATAATCAAGGGATCAATCCAAGAAGAAGATATAACAATTGTAAATATTTATGAACCCAACATAGAAGCACCTCAATACATAAGGCAAATGCTAACAGCCATAAAAGGGGAAATCGACAGTAACACAATAATAGTAGGGGACTTTTAACACCCCACTTTCACCAATGGTCAGATTATCCAAAATGAAAATAAGGAAACACAAGCTGTAAATGATACATTAAACAAATGGACTTAATTGATATTTATAGGACATTCCATCCAAAAACAACAGAATATACTTTCCCCTCAAGTGCTCATGGGACATTCTCCAGGATAGATCATATCTTGGGTCACAAATCAAGCCTTGTTAAATGTAAGAAAATTGAAATTGTATCAAGTATCTTTTCCGACCACAATGCTATGAGACTAGATATCAACTATAGGAAAAAATACAAACACATGGAGGCTAAACAATACACTACTTAATAACCAAGAGATCACTGAAGAAATCAAAGAGAACATCAAAAAATATCTAGAAACAAATGACAATGAAACCACGATGACCCAAAACCTATGGGATGCAGTAAAAGCAGTTCTAAGAGGGAAGTTTATAGCAATACAATCCTACTTCAAGAAACAAGAAACATCGCAAATAAACCTTACACCTAAAGCAACTAGAGAAAGAAGAACAAAAAAACCCCAAAGTTAGCAGAAGGAAAGAAATCATAAAGATCAGATCAAAACCACAGTGAGATATCCTTTCACAGCTGTATCAATAGCTATCACCAAGAAAACAAGAGTGACAAGTGTTGGTGAAGATGTGGGGGAAAAAGGGAACTCTTGTGCACAGCTGTTGGGACTATAAACAGTTTAGTCACTATGGAGAAGAGTACAGGAATTCCTCAAAAAATTACAAACAGAACTACCACATGATGTAGCAATCTGACTTCTGGGAATATATCCAAAGGAAATGAAAACAGGTTAGTAAAGTGATACGTGCACTACCAAGTTTAATGCAGCATTATTCACAATAACCAATGTACAAAAACAACCTAAGTGTCCACCAATGAGTAAATGTGGTGTGTGTATATATATTCCATTATATATATATGGAAATGGAATACTACTCAGCTACAAGCAAAAAGGAAATCCTACCATTTGCAACAACATGATGGATAGTGAGGATTTATGCTAAGTGAGATAAGTCAGACACAGAAAGACAAATATTACAAATTATCTCTTATATGTGGAATATAAAAAAAATATTGAACACAAGGAAACAGAATGGAAGGGTGGTTACTAGGGGATCAGAAGTGGGGAAATGGGAGATATACTGTTTAAGGTACACACTTGCAACTAGTATATAAATTAAGACGTGGAGATACAATACACAGTACAATGATTATAGACAACAAAACTGAATCATAAACATGAAACTTACTAAGAGTCTATGTGTTAATTATTCCCATCACTAAAGAAATGATAATTAGGGGATGTGATAGAGGTTTTAGCTAACGCTATAATGGCAATCATACTGAAATATAAATATATAAAATCAATATCCTACACATCTTAAACCTATATAACATTATATGTCAGTTATTTCTCAATAAAATGAGTATAATTCAATATTTAACTGATAAGGAAATAATTTATTTACAGATAGACTGTAATGTCACTTTTATTATTCACAAGTGTTAGGTGTTCCCCAGTGGAAAATCAACCAAAGAAATAAAATATTTGCATCAATAGTGTGACTGTCAACACTTAAAATTAAAATTGTACTGTTGACAACGTTTTAAAACATTTCATGTTCAAAAAATTATGTAGCAGTAAATAATATATGGGGGAAGATCTTTATAAATGTTAGGCATAAGTCTAAATATGAACTGAAACTCTTCCTAATCACAATTAAAATTATAAAATATGCAGTATGTCATTTATATATTTATATATAATAGTTATATGTGTTATGAGTATGTGTATATGTAAGTTATACATCTGAGATTTAAAAAAACCCTCATTGTATACTTTCATAGCCATAAACAAATCAATCTTGAAATAATAAAAATGACTTGAATGTGATACAAATACTTTGTAGAAAACAGGAAAAAAGTCTTTTGAAAGATTCTCCCTCCAAAAGTAAATTGTAAATAGAGGCAGATACATACACACAGAGCAGTCAATGCTCTCTCAATTTACCAATCCTATTTTATGTCATATTTTGTCATACAACATAGAAACTAGAGCTATAAATATATACTAGAATGTTAGATTTTCAAAAAATAGTTGAAAAGTAACCAATTACTCCACAAAAGAAAAACAAGTCACCTTGCACATAGTTGATGTAGATTCACAGGACTTTATATTGTTTTGTTCATGAAAAAGTCTTGCATGTCTCTATACCCATATCAGCTCAACGGTGAGTTGGCACCTTCTGAAGAGTCAGAAAAATGTTAGAATACCCAATTTCTTCTTGTGGCCCTAGTGCTAGAGACACTAACAAGACAGAGGGAACCAAAACAGGGAGAGTTTTATAAAGGGTATATTAATAAATTGAAGAATTTTCAGACACCCAATTACACATTTTTTTCATATTATTTACTTGTGGGACAACATATAAATATGTGTAATTGGAGTGCCAGAAGTTAGAGGGAAGAGAAAGTTGAGAGGAAGGGGGGGGACAACAATAAGAATAATTTGTGACTTCCCAACAATTAAGTTAAAGAGGCATGTTGTAAACGTCAGAGCAATCATAAAATAAATAAAATGAAGGAATATATCTAATAAGCCAGAAGAGAATATAAGATGGAATAAACATTTTCAATACAAGTAAAGGCAGAAAAAAGGAGGAAAAGGAATAGAACAGAGAGAAACACAAAACAAGTAGCAAAATGAAACATTTAAAATCAACCATATCAGTATTACATTAAATATAAATGAAATAAACAGGAGTTAAAATATAAGAGTTTGTCAGACTAGTTTAAAAAACAAACAAAAAAAGACCAAATTCTATGCTACATGCCTAAAGTATGAAATATCACAAATGTGCATCAAGATGAATGCAGAAACAAATTGCTATAATCATACAATGGAATACTATTAAGCAATAATAATGACTAAACTACTGATAGAGTCAACAACATGGGTAAATTTCAAAACAGCATACTGAGCAAAAGACTCCCCCCCACGCCACACACACACATAAGTGTTTGACGATTCTATTTTTATATAATAATAGACCATTTACAACTACTACTCTACAGTGATAAAAATAAGATACATAGTTTCCTGGAATGTAGGGAGGGCTGAATAAGGGAAGCTATAGAATATTTTACTTCACGATTGGGGTGATATTTAAACAGATGTACCTCAAAGTGAGAGAATTCATTGAAGCTTATGTCAATCATAATTTAATAAAATTCAGAAGGAGTATTAAATTAGAAATAAAATTAGTATTAAATTAGAATAAAAATATTATATCCAGAAATGTTAGTGTTAACATGTTAAAAGATGCTTAACAACACTTTAATTTATGGTATGTAAGCTTAAAATTATAATTAACAACAATGTGAAGACTAATTAGTAATTAATGTTCTATAAAAAATTATTTATACACACAAACTCACATACATATACATACACACTCACATACATACACACACATATCTAAACACACACGTAAAATAATTACCAATTGAAGCTGAGTACATTTGTTTCATGTGCGTTTCAATGACATAAGGATCCCGAGAGCTGTAACTTCCCAACTCTGGGTAAAAGCTGGAGCCAATGTCATCTGGGGGGTTGTGTTTCCCTTGTGGATATTTCTTGGCTATTCTAAGGTCCCAATGCGAGAGGATTGGATGGTTCCAATGTATATATTTACCATCAAATTGTGGATTTCCATACCAGCTGTAATAAAATACATGTAAAAAATAATTCCGAGGTGGCAGTTCTTCTGGGTAAGGTTCAGAGGCTTTGGAAGGTTTCATAGTGATTTCAACACTTTTTAAATTCTTGACGTTTGTTTCACTGTCGATTCTGTCACTCTTTTGGGAATCAAAAGTTTTTACCAAATGAGGAGTTTGTTGCCGAATTTCTGGAAGAAGGTCAAGTCCAAAAGGATCTCCAAAAGCAGCTTTATGTGGTCTCAGCATTTTTAAACCCATCATCAGAGAGAAAATAAATAGAATAAAAAGTGACAAAGTGATGCAAGTCCTTCTTCGAAACTTTGCCATGATGTCATACTTTAAATTCCAAAATGGTAAATGTTTAGCTGTAATTTATTGAAAACCGTAATTAATAAGTGGCATTAACAATATTTTCCAATATATTCAAAAGGAAAACTAAACTCCATAAAGTGTTACACTGCAAAATTTTAAAGTGCATTATGACATTAACTATATAATCAAATCTTTATACAAAAGAATCTACATATGGCTAGACTGAACAGCAGTATGTATTCAGAAATATCACAATTGCATTTTTGTCAAAGATTTTAAGAATTTAAGAAAATGAATATATTCTTCATCATTTGGACAGATTTTACATATACTGACTATAGAAAGGAAACACTCCATATAGAGAGACTAAAATTTTCTAAATATAAAATGAAGAGTTCATATTTAAAAAGGAAATATTTGAGTATATTAAAGACCTAGTCATTAAACGGAATTTCAAAAACTTATTCGTTGACTACCTCACTTCTAATGACCTGTTCTTCCACCGCATTTCACCAACTCAGGTGTCATACTCATAATCTTGATCTCGTCATTTTCAATCAAAACCATTATTTCATTTTTTTCCATTTTCTACACATACCCTTCCATGCTTTGAGCCTCTCTACTTCAGTACTCCCACACAGTCAATTCCTTTACCTTTTTGAGATGTCTAATCCACTGATTCTACCACTTTTTCACTATCACTTTTTTTTTTTTTTTTTTTTTTTGTTTTGTGGTATGCTGGCCTCTCACTGCTGTGGCCTCTCCCGTTGCGGAGCACAGGCTCCGGACGAGCAGGCTCAGAGGCCATGGCTCACGGGCCCAGCCGCTCCACGGCATACGGGATCCTCCTGGACCGGGGCAAGAACCCATGTCCCCTGCATCGGCAGGCAGATTCCCAACCACTGTGCCACCGGGGAAGCCCAGCACCACTTTTTTTCTTCATGTTTTGTCTCTAGTGAAGCAGTTTATAGGCCATGGTTCAGCACTGAAATTCCTCATTTGCAAAACAGTAGGCCCTCCATATCCACAGGTTGTTTGAATCCACAGATGAGGAACCCACAGATACAGAGGGCAAACTGTACTATGCCACTTTACATAAGGAATTTGAGCATCCACAGATTTTGGTATCCACGTGGGTCCTGGAACCAATCCCAGCCCCCTCACGGATACTAAAGGACAACTGTACCCTTAACTTCCTTTACTTCTCTCCTTCCTTAATACTTATCTGGTAGAACCTCAAATAAATGATGCCTGGCTTGACCTTGATCCAGAATTACATAATGATATTGGAGAAAAACACACACCATGTTGACTTTTCACTCTGAATTTATGACCATAAATTTCGGACATTCAAGATGGCTTAACAAGCCTATTAATATACCCCAGTACTTTCACTTTTCTAACCTCAAAATAATTATTTCATTCCTTCTCACTTTTCATCAAACGTGCTACTAAATCACCAATTTCCTTTATTCGCTTCAGATAGACATGTCCTATACTTTGTAGAGAAAACAATCAATCACATAAGAAATCCTTTATCTTCCTATTAAGAAATTAACCTAGTAACATCCACTGTTTTATGTCAGCAAATATTTCCAATTTTAACTTTAGTATTGTTTCACTGCTTTGCTTTCCTTCTTCAAGAAGTGCTATTACTTTTATTGAATCTTTGCTGAATTTTTACAACTGCACCTTCTCTTTTTCACCTCTTTCTTCATTTAATTTTGATTTTTAAGTGTCTTGTTACCCTCTATTTCTCATATGGCATTATCTGTTATGTTTGTCTTCTAGTCTTCAGATAGGAATATGAGTTTTGTCGATTTTAATTATCTTAATATTCTCTCATTTCTGAGTTTTCATAATTGTAATTTACTTGTTCATTCATATCTCACATAATTACTTTGTTTACTTGTATTTAAATATTAAGTTACAGTTGTTATATATTTATGAACATGGTTCTCTGGCATGCTTCAAGTATTTACAAGTTTAACTTTTTTGCCCATAATGACTTTGCATGGAATTTGACTCAAATTATTTTTTTTGTTGCTAAATATTACATGAAATAATTTTCCTTAATGTTTGAAATGAATGTTCAATCATGATAGTTTTTCTAGCTTCACAACTCCAGCAATCATTCTTCTGTTGTTTTTGTGAAGTTTTAATATGGCCTTGAATTTTTTTCTGAGATCAGTTGGGGTTTACTCCATTCCCACATTTACCTGGAATTTTGTATTTCTCTCACTTTTATTTTGTTCCTACCCTGCTCAATTTGGAAGTTATTTCCAGAAGTTCCTCTTCAATATGAGGCTTTGTCCTGAAAATGAGCTTCAGCTACTTAGATTTATTTTAAAATTTTATAAATAAATTTATATCTTTTTGTTATTGATTCTAGTGTGAGTTAACTGAAAACCTTTCCAGTGTGATTTCAACCCTTTGAAATATGTTGAGACTTGCTTTAAGGCTCAACCTATGAACAATTTTGTTAAGTATCCCATATGCACCAGAAAGGAATATATATTAGGCAGCTAGTGGTTATTGAGTTCTACTTATGTCTACCAAACCAAATACACTAAGCATGTACGTTATATTTTTCATATTCTCACTCATCTTTCTTCTACTTGTGTTAAAAATCCCCCACCATCATTATGCCATGTCTATAACTGCTTACATTATATAATTGTCACTGATGTTATTATGTGGAGACAAATTTAGGAGTTATATTTTCCTGAAGTATTAAATCTTGTTTTATAATGAAATGTTCCTTCCCTTCTCTACTGATGGGTTTTGACTTAAATTCCACTCTAATAATATAGCTATAACATATTTTATTGGGTTCATGTTGGCACAAAATACATTTTTATCACCTGTCACCTTAAATGACTAGTTTTTTTTTTTAAATATGACATTGCTTTATTGTTATTGTTGGTTTTAATCTAATCTGATAGTCTCTGTCCAATAATTATAGTATTCAGCACATTTACAATTCTACAAATATGGATACTATAGCTTTAAATCTACTTCCTACTTTTATCCTTAAATCTACCCTTACCCTTCTACTTGCTTTCCTTTTGGATTCCTTCTTACTGGCCCTAATTTCTCTCTTACCTTCTTTTTTTTTTTTTTGTGGTACGCGGGCCTCTCACCGCCGTGCCTCTCCCGTTGCGGAGCACAGGCTCCAGACATGCAGGCCCAGCGGCCATGGCCCACAGGCCCAGCCGCTCCGTGGCACGCAGGATCCTCCCGGACCGGGGCACGAACTCGCGTCCCCTGCATCGGCAGGCGGACTCTCAACCACTGCGCCACCAGGGAAGCCCTCTTATCCTCTTTTTAATTGTTTCATTCTTCCCTATTTCCTTGCTAATCATACAATCTCTTTGCTATTAATTTAGTTATCTTAGTGATTACAAGCATGTACTCTCACTTGTCAAAATCCAGTATGAATTAGAACTTTACCATTTCTTAAACAATGAAAGCACTCTTAGAAGATTTTGTTTCCTTTATCCCTGCCCCAACTTTTGGCTCCTATTTTGGTATATTTTATTTTTTTACATATACCTTATACCCCCCCAGATATTATATTGTTCTGTACAGTCAATGTTCATTATATTCACCCTTTCCTTTGTTCTTCACTTGCTCCATATTTCCATTTAAAATAATCTCCCTTAGGATGAAGAAATAATTCCCTTTAATAGGGTCTTTGGTGTTGGTCTGCTGATACTCTTTTCATATTACTTTGTTTGAAAGTATCTTTATTTTGCCTTCACTTGGACTTTTTATGTATACACTTCTATATTCGTAATTATTTTCTTTCAGCACCACCCTTATCTTGTCTTTGATTGTTTATGATGAAAATCCAACTATTATTTTTTCTCTTTATTCCTTTAAGGATAATGTATTTTCTTTTTCTCTGGTTGCTTTTAATATTTTTTTCTCTTCATCTTTGGTTTTCAGCTGTTTTCCTATGGAATATATAGTAGTATGGTTCTCTTAAGTTTTATTTTGCTTGAGGTTCAAAGTGCCTCTTCAATCTCTGGGTTGGTATCTTTCCTTAGTTTTGTAAAACTCTTGAACATTATCTCTTCAAATACTGCTTTTGCTCAATTATTGCTCTCTTGCTCTCTCATCTCTCATTATGGAATACATTACACACATCAGAATTTTATGTCCCATGTGTTTCTTCAATATTTTTTAAAATTTTCCTCCTTTTGTCTCTCCATGGTTGTCTGAATATTTACTTCTGAACTATTTTCAGTTTCCTGATTCTCTCCAGCAGTGATTAATTTCAGTTATAATTTTAGTCATAGAATTTCCATTTGACTCTTCTTAGAGATATCAGTTCTCTGCTAAAATTTTCCATCTTCTTTTTTAACTCCTTGAATTTTTTAATCCCATTTATTTAAAGTCCACCTCTAATAACCTGAATCTGAAATCTTAGGATTCTGTTTCTATTGCCTGTTTGGTTTTTTCCTCTTAATATCTGTACAGTAACTCTTTTTTTTATAGGCTAGGTTATTTTTTTACTGAATTCCAGACATCATATATGAAAATTTTCAGAGACAATGTGAGGCTCTATATATTATTTTCCTTCTGAGAAAGCTTATTTTTGCTTCTTGAAGACTTCTAGGGTAGAGGAAGATTATCTTAATATAATCAGAGATTGAAATCTTCAAAACTAGGTATAAGTCCTTCCAAAGATTTGGTGTATTTCTGATTCATCTTTACTCCTTTATACTCATGGGTTCTGATATCAAAGTCACAGGTATTTATCAAGATCCCTCCTCTAGGATGGGCTTTGGAAGGGCCCTGAATTCCAATTTTGGTCCCCAAAGAGCCATGAAACTACCAAAAGCTCTATTCATTTTCTCAGCTGCCACTTTCTACTTAATTCTCAGCTTCTCTGCAGCTACTTTTGAATCAGAGGTTTTAAATAACCCCCCCTATTTCCTACCCTAATCTCCCAAAGAAAAATTAAGTTTTAGGGCTAGAATCATTCAAATACTTATATAATCCCACCTGAATTCCCTTATATCCTTAGTATAGTGAAAGGCTTTCT